GCGCTGATTCCTGGAACGAATGCTGAGAAAGTAGTGAGGTCCTACGAGGAGCACTTTGGAAAGATCCGAGCTCAGATGGTGCCTTGTGATCAGTCAATGCAGACAGAAGACCTAACAGATGCGTTGTCACCCAAAGACTCATTTGCTTACAGGTCAGTTGTTGGTGTTTGCTTGTACTTGGCAAGGGACAAGCCAGACTTACTGTTCCCAGTCAAGGAGCTCAGTGGGAACATGAGCAAACCGACCCATGGAGCCTTGCAGAAACTGATTGGGTATTTGAAAAGCACGGCAGACTACTGTGTTGTTTTTGAAACACCTACTCCTGGTCAAGGCAAATGGAGGTCAACAGACAAATTTTGGGCGCTTGAGAGTTTTACAGATGCCGACTGGTCTTCAAATCAAAGGCATCGTCGTTCAACAAGTTGCGGAGTTCATTTGGTTTGCGGTGCATTTGCATATGGTTCCTCGAGAACCCACAAGGTTGTTTCCCTTAGCTCTTGCGAGAGTGAACTTCACGCTATGTTGAGCACCTTATGTGACGGCATATTCCAACGCCGTTGTTTGGAGTTCCTGACAGGTGCAACCATCGAGCACTACCTGTTTACTGACAGCAGCTCAGCCAAGCAGCTTTCAACCTGCCAAGGAGTTGGAAAGGTGAAACATGTGGCAGGAAAGTTGTTGTGGATACAAGATGCAGTGCTGCGCAAACAGGTGATGCTGATTCAAGTTCCGATCTTGTGGAATTTGAGTGATTTAGGGACAAAGCCCTTAGGAGCAAAACATTTGAGGCTGCTTCTACATGAACTTGGTGTCTCCACGCATGAAGGTGAATACGTTGTGGGCCAGGCAGAGTACGAGCAGCATTCTTCAAGGCATGGAGGTGGAAAGGAGATGGCAGTGTTAGCAATGAACATTGCACGTGTTTTGGTTGTGATGGGCCTTGGGCCAATGCCTGGAACCGGAATGACAGTGGACGATGATGAAACGCAGTGCAGTTTGACAAAGACCAATGGACAGCTTACAACTGATCATGATCGACTTGCGTTTTGGATGTTTCTGGTTTTCATGCTGGTCGTGATTGGGTGGTCAGCATTCCTCTGGCGTTTGTTCTGGCTGAGACACATTTGGGAAGGCCACGAAAATCTGTGTCTACAGGTGGCAGAGTTGGATGCCTATGCTGGGGGAATCAGAACAGATTGCGACAGGTTGGAAATTGAAACAGAACCTATGATGCAGAACATGATCGAGTTGGAGCAGCAACAGGAAATGGTTTCAGATGGCATTGATGCCATCCATTACGCTTTGGTGGAAATGGGAGGCTACGTGCGTATGTCTGAACTGAGTGCCAATCAACGGAGGCACATGTATACACAAGAGAGAGGAAACATGGTCACTGCAAATGTCATGGGTCAGCAAAGATACCTTTCAGCCATTCGACAACAGAATCATGGATTCTCAGTTGGACAGGACACAGATGTCAGAATGGATGAAGGTGAGCAAGAAGGAGAGTCTGAGAATGATTCTGCAGCAGATGACCCTACAGTGACAGTTGGAAGTGAAGGACCTTGGACTCCTCTCATCAACATTCTACGAGATGAAATCAACAATGCCTTGCGAATGGACAATTTCAGGGACGCCAGTGGATTGCAGAGGATGGTTTTGATTGTCCTTGACTACTTGAATGCTGGCAACCTTCGAGTCGATGTGATGCGAAATTCAGTCTTGGAACAGATTTCAAACAGACTGGCATCAATGGTGCCACGGCACAGGATGCTTCATCCAGCAACGGCAGAGCGCTACAGTGGCTATGCTGTGATTGTGAGGCAGTTGATGGTGATGGGAAATGAAACTTGAACTTGCGTACGAGGATGAAAGAAAATGTGAAAAGAAGGAGAAAATGGGGAATACAGGAACCTCCCCGAGACCATAATGCCTGTTAATTCAATGAGTGCAACCAGTTTCACGTAGTGAAAATTGGTTGAAGTGCGATCTAAAGCTGCGCATGTCAAAGGCGGAGTGCAATTGTTTTAGCAGTGCGCTCATGTCTACATTCATCCATGAAAATCATAGGATGACACGCACAAATCAACAGTTTAACAGAGCTTCAGTTCACGTCACACGTCACGTGAAAATTCATCTACTTTGAGGCCCTGAGGTTCAAAACAAGAGCGGCAGTGATAGGTTTGGCATTGAACCGTTGCAGTTTGTTAACAAACGCCTGTGGGGTCAGCCGCAGGCATCTATAAATAAACTTCATCGCTACTGCAAAGCAAAGGCACTGCCGCACCTTTCGCCGCTCTAGCCCTCCAAAGTTAAAAGCTTCGGCGTGTGGGAAATGTAGCTTGCAATGCTTTTCTGGAGATAAAACTTAAACTTTTACAGGCCTGGGGTTTGGCTGGGCAAGGATTTGTTTTTTTGTCCTTTCGCCACATTTCAGACATTTCGCGGTTTGTTTTGGTTGCAACTTTGAACAGCGTAGTTCGGGAAAAAAAATCGTCAGGAATTTTTCAACGGCGCCAAAGCCAACACGTTGTGTGATGAAATCCATCAATTTGCACAAACCGCAGTTTTAACTGCAAATATATTTGGTTTGCGGTTTGCTGACATGTAGGGGCTGCATGGGGCTGCCACTAGACAATGGAGTGGCGCGGATGCATTTGCCTGTTTTATCGCTGATGCGTTTTGCATACTCCTGAGAACAATTTTAACCCAAAAAACAAAATGGATTGATTCGGCGGAACTTTCCAAAATTGAAGATGGGGCATTGCATGAAAGGCAAATTGAATCAATGCGGAAAGGATCACTTATAAACCAATCCTAAAGTTCATTAAAAATTGTTTTCTACATTTTGCATCGTTGCAAAACATGTTTTTTTTGGTGTTGGCCACGTTGAGGCCAGTTCGCATTGCTTTGCAACCATGGTTTCCGACCGGTCTTTACGCATGCTGACGCGACGCCGACTGTTGGATGGCATGGTGAGGTGCCTCTTTGTGGCACTTTCGTTTGCAACGACCACATAGGAAATGTTGTTTCCATTTGACATATTGATTTTCAATGGCCATGATCGTCACTGTCTTGATACTTGATTCCGCCATGACACAGAATCCTAAAACCGTGTTTGATGTCCGGCGAGGCATGTGCTGTGCGGTTCTGGCACTGGAACTTCCATGGGCGAGCGAGGCTGATCCATTATAGAAATCTTGAAGTGAGCACGAAACAAAGATGGTTAAATATGAATTACTACTTATACATGATTTTTTCCCATTCACATTTCCATTGCGGGGATTTTACAGCCAACCATGTTTGATCAGAGGGCCAACAAAAAATGGTGGTTTCATCGGTATCCACGGTGCAAGGTTCACGTGAGAGCGTCAGCAAGGCACGGAGTTTGATCCAATGATGCAAATGAGGGTGCAGAAATACAAGTGCCAATGGACCAATATTTTTTTCCGTAATCAATCTGAAACCTTCATGTTGCCAAGTGAACATTTTGATTTCGGTTGACCCATACCCACATGGACATATGCAAAAAATGATTTTCCACCGTATGTTAACTTGCAAGAAACTGGGATATCAACTCAAATTGCAAAATGGTACCGTCATAGCAACCTGCAACATTGTCTCGGAAACTTGCAAACATGGTAGTTTGACAATTGTTTAGCCTTCAAACCTACAAATGGAGTCCAGTACTGTAGTTTCCTCTTAACCCTTTTCTAGCATGTGAAATCCATGAACCAACAGGTGCTTTGCCCAGTGCTTAATCTTTCAACTGTTTGATTGATTGGTTCCTAAGCGAAATATTGAAGGAATCATTTGATGCGTTTTTTTCAACTTGAGGTCAATTCATGGAAAAATTATGGAAAAATAGAAAAAACACCAGAATTATTGCCACTTCCGTCTTTCCCCTTTGAATTTTGAGGCATTTTCGGTGGTGGACTTGATCTCATCCCTTCTTTTGCACCTTTGGTCCTCAAGTTTCGACTCAAACTCCACAGGACAGCCGGCGGCGATCCTATCTTGCGAGGAGCCACAGATGGAACAAGTGTATATAGATGGTGTAACCTGCCCTTTTTTGTCGCAAATGAAAACTCTCGGAGTAGCATTCTTTTCAAAAAGCCAAAATATAACTCCACCAGAAGATACGGAAAGATGGTTGACATGGCATAAAGGCTGTTAAAACAAACATCTGGGAGGCTGGGAGGTGGTTTGAACTTGATACATTTTACTTTTTGCAGTCAGCAGACAGAAAGGTAGAAAAGTAAAGCACAATGGAAATTTCATTAGTAAACACACTCATAAACTGTCCCCAAATGGAGTTTTTGGTTTGTTTAACCACAGGCAGGGCTGGACATGTCTGTGCAGCTTGAGGTGCTCATCACGGACAAGTGGACTCTTCAGTTGTTGGAGCGTGTGGGGAGACCCTTTTTCATTTCAGCCATGGAGATGATGACACCGGAAAGGATTTCCCCCAATGGATTGATCATCCCCAAGTTCAGCAGCCACCGCTCAGTGAAATCGCAAACAAATTGGTCGGTGAATAGCCTGAGATGTTGACCTACACCCAGGCAGTATATTGTATATATATATATGTATAGTATATACGATATAGTATATAATGTATAATATATAATATGGGTTCTCTCATGTGAAGCATGATAGATCTTTATGAGACTGGGGAATCAGTAAAAACGAACATTGGTGAGTGTGCGGTGAATTGTTACATGTACATTTCCATGTCCATGCATCGAATCTTTTCAATGTTCATGCATTCAGATTGTTTTCTACCGTTTATTTCTGGCTTATAGTCACAAGTGTGACTAGCAGCAAGTGCTGCATTGTTGGAAAATGTCATGTTCATCAAAGTCAAGTCAACATGTCCAATCACGAACATCAGACATGTTGCAATGAACATAAACCATATCAATTTTCCAACTTAACATTACTTCAGAATGTTTTTCGTGTACTCTCTCCCTTCCGTGTACTGCCTCGGGCGTGGTGCCATGACCCCTGACTGGCACGAAGGTCACCAAGAAGGATTCTTTGACAATTTGCCGCCGCTTTCCAAGCGGGTGCCGATCTGGCACCAAGGCGATCGCGAGAATCAGACGATCGGGGCCATCAGTCCGTGGCTGGGCATCGACAATGTGGAGTGCGAGGTGTCGGCCTTCACCTACTTGGTGAAAACGTCGCACACCGCGAACTGCCTCCCATCGCTGAGCTCTTTGCTGTCGTTGTGGGCCCCGTGGGACGATGACCTTTCGGAACTGGTCCAGTTCCACCTGATTGTGTTCCAATGGGATGCCTACAAGGACATTCTGAACACGATCCAGGACGACGCGGTGAACATGACTGACGACGGCAACATCCCCGCGGAAAATCGTCACCAGACGTTCGTGACCATTCACTATCTCGAGGCCTCAGACTTGATCGACACCATCGGAGGGCTCAACAGAAGCCTCATGGCACTCAGAGCAGATCATGAGGAGCTCCTCGAAAGGTTTGAAACCTATCGAGAGTACACGGGGCGCATCATGGAGTACATCGCCAGCAGAGACCCTGCAATGGCCGGACCCTTCGGCCTCCTTCTTCGACCTGAAGACCTTGCGCCAGAGCGCACACAGCAAGGGCCAGTTGACCGATAGGTGTGGTGCCGCTTCTCGATGTCAGCTGACATTCAAGCAACTTTGGAGGTTCGACTTTGACCTGACGGTAGGCCATTTACGGGTCACCATGTGCTGCTTTTGGCTTCGGCTGCAGCGAAGGCTTCTTCAAGACTTTTTGCAATAGATGCAAGGCATCTAAATTTCGATGGTCGCCAGCCACAGGCGTAAATCCAAACAAACTTCAGCTCTTTGAAAATGGGCTGATTCCTCCGGGGGTTTGTCCGCATCATTCCATATAGACACGATCCACACATGGCATAATATGCATTATAGATGTACACTTTGCTGTGTAAAGGTAAGGGATATTTCTCAAGTCAGATCACATGCACAGACGTGAGGACCAAGGACAACTGAAGTGTGCGTGTGGATCATTTGTTCATCACGCCTATGTGTATGAAAGGCTCAAGTGAGCAGTTTTGAAAAATTTGTTGGGGGGGGTCTTTTCGGCTTCCCTCTTTCGTGCCATCCTCAGATGGGGTGTCGAGTGACACGAACTTTGTGAGTTTAACTGTCAAGTGACAGTTTTTACACATAAAGTGATTGGCACAGAACATGTAAACGTTGCCAAGTGGCATTGGGTTAGATCATGCGTTTGCTTGATCGATGCTCTAGGTTGGGCGTCGGACGCAGCGCCTGAGCGCCCCACTCAGACACTTTTCGGTGTTTGAACGTGTATGAGAAATGTGGTTTGACAAGTGTCGCCCTTGGAGTGAGTGTCGTATGACACTCTTAGGTGAGATCCGCGCCCCAGTCTCAGAGATTGCATCAATGCAATTTTTCCTCATTGATTCAGATTCATTGAAGTCAGTAAAACCTCTCTTTGATAACCAGTTCTGTTCAAGGCCTGGCGTCGAGTGACCCTTGCCGGTTGATATTGTTTGTGTACGAACCCAGATGTGTTTGTCTACGATCTGAGTCAGCCGCTTGATCTTACTTCCTTATTTGCGGAATCAACGAGTGTTCAATTTGAATTTGCCAGGCTGCGAGTCGAGTGACCGCGTCTGGAGGGTCGAGTGACCGTGGAGACTTGGTGGTTTGACCCTCATTTGAGTGGAACCATTCCTCCAGCATTTACTTCAATGTTTTGTGCAGTTGTGGAAGCAGCTAAATTTTATTTTATGCGTTGTGGCACAAAGTTTTTCGGAATTGAATGGTCACATCTTGACGTCAGGTTCTTGCACACGAAACCTACTTCCTGGCCTGAGCTTGACTGACCGCATGGAGTGATGCGGCGAGGTTCCAAGAGGACCCATGACGGTGACGTTGCATCCGATTCAGCATCCGTTAACTCTTGCACCATCCGTAAACCTCTGCCTGATGATTTGGATGCCGAAACCGTAGGTTTTAATGAAGATGCTTTGTTTCCTGACGGTCAAGAAAGTCCGCACTGGGATGGTTATGATGACACCCTCATCGCCGAACCAGATTTTCCGAGGGACCATGCATCCGTGCTTGACGACGCCAGTAGGAACAACCTCAAGTCCATGATTGATGATTCATGCTTGGCTGTCAAGCCCACGTTCAAGTTCAAAATGCCTTGGGAGAGAAAGGGGCTGTCAATGATCTTCAACAGAGATCCAGCCACGCTGATCCCCACTCCGGTAATGAGCCCCATAGATTTTGATAGCTTTGGAAGGCAGTCGACATCTTCTTCTCATCCTTCGACAGGTAAAACCGTCCGAGGAGCCTTCAGCGATGTCATTGATTTCAGAAACACTGATATCTCAGAGAAGGATGTTGAAGACTCAGCCATGAACAAAGCTTTGGAGAAGTGGTACAAAATCTTCGCTACCGGACGAGAAGCCTGGCCCAGGGGTTTCGATTTAAGTGCAGCCGTCCGAAACCACCGACTGGATGACATGAGATTAGTTTTCGGCAGCCGAAGTCACGGCACACTCCTCAGACGAGGGTCAAGCATTCTTCAGTATGTTGAGTGGTACAAATCTCGTTATTTCAGCTTGTGTCCGTTTCCGTTGACTGCAGAACTAGTCGAAGAATATGTGCAGTCTCTGAATGCATCAGGGAAACCAGCCTCGAATCTCAGGGGGTTTGTGGAAGCAGTCCACTTTTGCCAACATGTGATAGGTATGGACGTTAGCCTTGATGCAGGGACACTAATCTCAGCAAAGGTTCACAGGATCATAGAATCTAGTGATTGCCTTAGGAAAGAGAAAGTTCAAGCCAGAGTGCTCACTGTCAAGGAAGTCGAGCATCTTGAGATATTCCTTTCCGACGAACGTATGGACATCACAGACAGAACGGCCTGTGGCGCCATGCTCTTTTGTTTGTACAGTCGAAGTAGTAGATGGTCGGACATCCGTAGAGTCTACAATTTTGTCACAGACATTGCTGAGAGGGAAGGCAAGATCTCGGGATACGTAGAGTGCAGAACCAGATCTCACAAAACTGCTAGACTGGTCGCTAAAGGGGGGCTTTCTATGCCATTGGTCGCTCCGGTGTGGGGCGTGACATCCCCGCCATGGGGACTTGCATTTGTCAAGGTTTTGCAACTTGCAGGTAGGGCAGCAGATTGCTTGGACCATGAGCCCTTGCTCGCGGCTCCAACCCTTGATGGCAAATGGTCCTCCAGGGCGGTGACCACAAAGGAAGGAGGCAAATGGCTCAGAAACTTGTTAAGCAGTGTCGAAGGTGGATCACCATTCACCTCGATTCACACCTTGAAAGCAACTCCATTATCTTGGTGCGCCAAGTGGGGGCTAGACCCTGACACACGCTCGATCCTTGGACACCATACGACTGGGAAAAGTTCTGCTGAGTGCTATGGTCGTGATAACTTAGCAAAGCCCCTGCGTGAATTGGAACTTGTCCTCCAACAGATCCGGACAAGGGCTTTTTCACCAGACTCGACCAGATCTGGCATGATAGGCTCGGAGACCGTAGCCGATCCCAAAGCATCCTTCAGCTGCGCACTGGAGACGAATCAGTCACCCGACCAGACAGCGGTTGGTGTCAGCTCAGATTCCGAATCCTCGTCCTCTTCCAGCCCTTCCGACGGTGAAGACTCTGCATCCGAGGCAGGTGACAATCCCGACCCCGTGATTGCACCACGACAGCGGGCTCCTGATGTCCTCATGTATAGAAACATTAAAAGCCGGGTAGTCCATGTGGTCGCAGTAGGAGGTGCCGAGTCATTCAGCTGTGGAGTCAGGATTTCTGACGATTTTGAGCAAGTTGATTCGTCCCCCTTCTTGGAGATCAGGAAGTGTAAGAGGTGTGAGGCGGCTAAGCCCATCAAAACGGTCGGGCAGATGGCCTCAAGTTTGGAGAAGCTGCGCAAGGGAACGTAAAAAGGTGTCGAGCCTCAGTTGTCTGGGAGGAACCTTGGCAAGTGCCGGACTCATTTCCCAGAGCCAAAGTCTTCAAAACGTGTTGGGGCAAGTGCCGACTTGTGATGTTATGTTCACACGTCTGACACGTCATAAACAGCGAGTGCTGTGAGCTTGTGTCATGTGACCATGCATGCGCGTGGCTCAAGAAAAACAAAAAAAGAGTTTTTGATGAAACAAGTCTCCAACACATGCAATATCATCAGACAGAACCTGATCTAAGTCAGAGTTTTTCCAGGATTGAAACACTTTCAGTATGTTTTATGAACATCTGTTCGTTTTTCCTTCACCTTCCTCGATGGGATGGGCACGCTTCTTGAGTCGAAGGAAGCCTTACGCTCAAGAGGACTGGAAGTCAGCTTGACTTTGGACGAAGTGAATGCCCTCATCACAAACAGAGTGGATTCATTGGCACGCCTAGCCTTCGCAGCCTGCCCACCAGGCGAGGCACCGACCAATGACCAAATCGACGGGCTATTCAACGGCCTCATTACACCGAACCCAGGCACATATGCCTCAATGAAGCGACTCATCTTTGAGGCACAGACTTTGCTGTCAGCAGAACTTCAGAACAAAGTCCACAAGACGGACGAGCAATCGAAATCGAAACTTGCACCAGCCGAAAGAGATAATAGACTTAAGGAGCAGAAGACAAGGCTCGAAGGACTTAGGTTCAAAGGAGAAGAAGAGTGTTCTTACCAAAGTTACGACTTGGTACTGAATATGCTGGAAAAAGACTCCTTAGTTTATTTATCTCCAGAGAAGTTTGCAACGAGGCGCAATGAACTGGCGCTCAAAAAGACAGGCAAGGAGATCTCGATTGACCAAAGTTCGCTCGTCATCAAAGACAAAGCCCAAGAGTTGACCTGCTCAACGGCAACCGAGCTTGAGACAACCAACGCAATGAGGCGACGAGCCCTTGCATTCGATCTCGTGAAAGCCTGCAGTTACCACACCATGAATACGTATCATGCGGAGCTGTTTGATCATTTGCACCTTTCGCCTCCACCAGGATATGCACAGGTGACATTGACTCAGATCCTTCGTGCTGACAGAGCAGCATGGCTTTACATTGCTGAAAGAATCTCCACCCTGAAAAGAGATGAACATGGAGTTCTTCCGCTTGAGACCGAGATCCGACAGGTGCTGTCACAACCCAATGTTAGCTTCCATCTGCTCCCGCTGCCCTTGAAATCCGCAGAGAAGCCGGCACAGCCCAAGGCAGCACCTGCTCCAAAGCGCACTCGATCGCGCACACCACCGAAACCATCAGCTCCATCATCGCAGAAAGGCAAGGGCAAAGGAAAAGGTGGTAAAAACAAGAGAGGTAGAGGGCCGAACATCCCTCGCGGATTAATAGGCAAATGCCTTCAAACAAAGGCTGGCGAGAGAATATGTTGGGCATTCAATTTATCCCAAGGCTGCCAAGAAGCGAAAGCAGGATCCAAATGCTCCAGAGGAATCCATATATGTGCTGAGCCCGGCTGTGAGCAAGATCACAGCTTGCAGAACCATCGATGACAAACACCGGTGGCTGATTCGGTTTTGCCCGGAAACAGCATTCGAAGCAATGCACCAACTCCTTCTCAGAATCAGTCACTTCAGGAAAGTTTTTGCATAGAAGTTTTCGCT